TGTCAATGTCGAAACCGGAGCTGAGAAGTAACCGCCCGACCTCACAAGTAGTCAGAGTTGAGAGCTTAAGGTCTTGGAATCTTGACATCTGGCAAACCTGACGCGCTGGGATGCACTCTTCAAACGTCAAGCTTCTGTAGAGTCTTCTCTCTCAAAAACTAGCGATGTTCTTTAAACTCTCGCCCTGAACACACCTAAAGCTTCATTTACGAACGCTAATCTAAGTAATTGAAGTGAGACAGGTGTACCAAGATATATGATATACAGAAAGTACAGTCATCCAACTGTATACATTTCAATGGGTAAAATACGACTGTAGCATGACTTGTACTAGAACTTACAACATTATCGACACGGATGTGATCGTACGATGGGGGTTGTAGATACCTCCTGTAGGGGTCGGACATTTACGAATAGTAATCCCCTATGGTCCTTAGATAAATACACTATGAAATTCGCCCGAAAACCCTATTCTAATTATTCTGGCCCCTAGATTAAACCTCCCAGTGTCTGCGTCCACGTCGTAAAGGTTGATAACTTGACCCAAGTGATTCTTTCGTAGCTAATTTTGTGCCCAAGAATTGCCTGTAAGATGCATATGGTCACTTCTCTAAGGTATGGTCCTCTTTGGGGTTACTAATAGAAGGCGACCCCTAGTACTTAGGGTACCCCGACAAGGGACCATCATTTTGAGAACTGATCATGAGGGTTACTTGAGGTATTTGGTTGCCCCAAGAATCCTCAACCCCAAGCCCTAAACCCTAAACCCTGAAACCCTAAAACCCTAAAGAGGTTCTTGTAGCTAAAAGGGCCTCGCGCAGGCTGTCCAAGCCGAGGATGGCGTCCGCATGGCCGTGGGTAAGGAGGACTGCCTTAAGGAACTTAAACCACGGGTCAAGGGTGGAAGGTTCAGGGTTTCGGGTCTAGGGATTCCTTAGCAGCAACCAAAAGCTTCCTTGAGAGGTCTCGAGTCTGGAAGTTTGCCAAATCTTGAAAGTAGTTCTCCTTATACATGCCTTTTCACATTACCCAATAGTATGGTTAGAGTTTCGGGTTTCCCTAAACCCTTAACCCTAAATCGGGTTCGGCTTCAGGGCCTAGGGTACCCAACAGTAGTACAGGACACGTTTGGGCACTTGGGCTTTGACTTTCTGGACCCCAAGCCTGAAGATGGACCCAGGGGTTCCGAAGGGTTAGGGTTTAGGGTGTAGGGTTTGGGTTTAGGGTTTAGGGTTTAGGGTTTAGGGTTTAGGGTTTAGGGTTTAGGGTTTAGGGTTTAGGGTTTAGGGTTTAGGTGTTAGGGTTTAGGGTTTAGGGTTTAGGGTTTAGGGTTTAGGGTTTAGGGTTTAGGGTTTAGGGTTTAGGGTTTAGGGTTTAGGGTTTGGGGTTTGGGGTTTGGGGTTTAGGGTTTAGGGCTTAGGGCTTAGGGCTTAAGGTAGAGGTCCGGTTGGGGCAAACCACCAGGTTGGCATGGCAAGGTCTCTTGTTCCCCGGTGCTGAAGACCTTGCGCTGTGGTAAAGAGTGTAAGGTTTGAAGGGCCTACCCAAGGATCAACCCCTAAAGCCTAAACCCTAAGCCCAAACCCGAAACCCTACGGCCCTACGGCCATAGGGCCCTAGGGCCCTCAGGCCCTCAACCCCGAAACCCCTAAACCTGTAAACCCGTAAACCTGTAAACCCCTAAGCCCCCAAACCCATAACCCCGAAGTGTGGCACCATGCCAAGTGCCCCGCATTCACGCCCTGCACTCCCAGCGCTGGGAAATGGCGTCGCACGGCCTGCAAAGATGGTTTTTGGGGTTTAGGGTTCAGGGCTAGGGTTGATACGGTTTAGTTGGGGATTAAGCTCTAATTTAGTGTTTAGGGCCAGGTTCCAGGCTTGAAATCCAGGAGCCAACTACCCCCTCCCCAAGGAATGCACCTTACAAACCGGGTCCTTCATCGGAAATACGGTTTATTCAGTTTATTCCGATTTGGAGGTTTCCGAAATTCGGGGTACCTTATTCCGGTGACTCACTGAGTTTAGCCCGGTTTGGGGTAGTGTGTTAAACTTCCAGGGATGCTAGGGGGGACTGTTGGACCCCCAAACCCCAAACCCTACACCCAAGACCGGCATTGAGCACCTCCTCGAAGGTCTTCCTGGACAGGGAGGTCTGTCGTCAAAGGGGTTTATGCGCCAAAAGCGCCTCCGAATTAGAATAGGGGCTTGGGGGGGGGGGGGGGGCTATTGTGGTATATTGACAATGGGAGCCACAAGGGAAGATATTCCAACCCTATATGATACTCTATATAGGAAGCCCTGGTCTCGTGAGGTGCAGGAGTTGGATGTAGCTCGAGCAGACAGCAGCCTTTTTGGGCCACTAGAGTAATGCATGAATAGAAAGGGTGCCCCTTTTGGGTTAAAGGTGCTTCTAAGGAAGCCTAAACCCTCGAAAAAGGGAATAAGGGCCCACTCTGGCTTCTAGGCTATGGTAGGATGCTGCCCAACGCTGCCGGCCTTGACGTGGTTGCGTGCTTGCTCCGGAGCCACTCGCCCCGCGTATCATTAAAGCTCCCTGCAAGCCCTGTAGACCCTCAATCCTTTACACCCTAAACCCTAAACCCTAAACCCCGAAACTTGATAGTAAAGTGTTGTGTTGGGGATTCTTCCGGGCCTCGCCGGCCATGAGCTTCTATGCCAAGCAGCCAGATCTGGAAGCTTTTGAATCAGGGACCCCCAATATACACCCCAAACAATATTAGGGTTAAGAAGGACCCTGATAGTAAGGTACGTATCCGCAATTTCGGAAGCTTCCATCTCAATCCGTCCAAGCATCCCACAATCTACCAGGAGGTGCTGGTCCGTAGAGGCAGACTTGATGGTAACCAGCAGACCTGTGATTCTCCCCTTAGAGTTCAGGGTTTCGGGTTTAGGGTTACAAGTTGGGGCACAAGCACTATGAACGCAGGGGTGTGGTTTAGGGTTTGGTATTGGGAAAGGGCGGGGCTTTCCTGCAATCTGGCAAGCTTCGTCTTCTGGTGGCTAGGACTGCTTGTCAGAGTCATGCACGCATCAGGCCGAGCACTTCTTCCTGAACCCTAGAACCCTTCAGGGTTTAGGGCCTGGGGCTCAGGAATTTGCTGCAGAACTTCTCTCAAGGCAGAAGCCCGCGAGCACCAAGCAACGTGAGCATTTCCCAAGATACGCGCCCCCCAAAATGACGCCCCCCCCCCCCAAAAAAAAAAACAAACCTTAAGATAGACATAGCACCCCCCCCCTCCCCCCCACAAGGGTTTAGGGTTTAGGGTATATTTAGATTCCAATCGCTGAAGAGGCTTCCAGGCACAAGCTGACACGCTCGCTCGCACATTCACACACAAACAAACTTGGGATGTTACCCCTGAAACTAACGGTTCTGAATAGGGATTATGGTACCCCCTATTAGAATCCATATTCAGGACTGTTAGTATAAGGGGGAACAGCCCAAAGACAAACGCACAATGCGAAACAAACATATCGAGGGTTCTTCGCGTGCCGCGCTTCTTTGGTACATGGGGGAAGGGGGTGTGATCTAAATCATGGGCTCGTTTGGCATCTCCTAAACCCTAAACACGAAACCCCAAACCCTAAAGCCCTGAACTCTAAAACCCTACAGCCCTAGAACCCTGGGAACCCTGGAACCCTAACCCCGTTTAGAGGTTGGATTCCTCACTTCAGCAGAGACACTTGGGTTGCCGCGCCGATTCTTCGAGTCGGGATTGCTCCAGGCCTTGTGGGGTTTAGGGTTTAGGGCTTTGAGCCCTGCTGGGTCAGCAAGGGAATCTTGGGGCTTCGTGCCTTTTAAGGGGGTTTAGGGTTGGGGCTTAGAGCTTGAAGGTTGCAGACTTAATCTTGATCTCTTGATTGCCCGCCCTCCCAAAGCCCTAGCCTAGAAATCCTCCTCAACCCCAAGCATAGAGATTCGGGCTGAAGCTCTCTGAGTCCTAAACTTCATCCGAAACCCTAAAGCCTATCATTTGAGGGGTTCTGGGTCCATGCTGGTAAGGCCTAAAACCCCTAACCCTAAATCCTAAACCCAAAGCCATAAACGGCCCGAAGCCCTAAACCCCTAACAACCCCAAGGGGAATCGATGTCACGATGGCGCCTTCTTCGTGCCCGAGGGCTGTTCTGCAGTCAAGTGGCCTCCTGGCAGACCTCGCAGCCTGCCTCCTTCTGAAGGACATGCCTCCACGGGCGCTCCAGGGTTTAGGGTTTAGGGTTACTTAGGTGGTTTAGGGTTTAGGGTTTAGGGTTGTTTAGGTCGTAAGCATGTTTACGTTCCCTAACAAGAACCCCCAGTTCGCACCATCACCGATGTCCTCAGGTGCTGACTTTCCACACCCCAACCCCTCGCCTACGGACACGGACAAAGCCCCTGAATCTCAAAGCCCAAGCCCCGAACCACAACACCCTCCAACCCCAAACCCCCAGCCCCCCAAGCCTTGCTTGAGTAGGGTAGCAATGGGTTTACACTTCTTTAAGGTTCTGATAGCCCTACAAGCCCTACACCCTAAACCCTGAACTCTAAAGCCAAACTTGGTATCAGCCTTAAATTCGGGAGGCTGCTGGAGCCGCCACTGCCGACAATAACGAATCGCACGGCAAGGGAATCCATGGCGGCGTCGTCAACCAACGATTCGACCAAGGGGGTTGGGGGTTTTTAGGTCTTGTAGCATACTTTGGGGTCTTGCACAGGACTTTAACAATAGGGCGCTAGCCAGCGAAAGCGCAAAATTGCAAAAGACTGTGAAAGACTGTAAAAACACAATCCATGGCAAAAGACCACCACTCGAAGGGGTACTTACAAGCAGGGCCTTAAAGTACCCAGCACACTTGGTTTTTGGTTCAAAGGGCTGTGAGGAAGCCTAGACCCTAACAAAAAGGGAACAAGGGCCTACTCTGGGTCCTAGATTCTAGGCTTCCAGCTTCTGCAAAGGCCTTCGAGGCTGAAAGGGGCAAACATCCAATCTTCGACTTCGACCTACAAGGCCGGTATTGCAAGCGGTCGGAAAGAAAGCTCGAAGTCCAGTTTCACCTGAAGATGCACCCTAAAGGGGTAGTGGGTTTAGGGTTTAGCGTTTAGGATTTAGGGTGTAGGGTTTAGGGTTTGTTTCGCAGATGCTCTTGAGTGTGGAGGTGCGGGTGTGAGGGCAGGGAGTGTGGTACTGCATACATCCCCGCTTCGATGGCCCAAAGCGGTGTGAATGCCCTGTTAAACTAGTTGAATGCACATGTTCCGACTGAGAAGCTGTGCCATGTTTTCGAATTTCGCTATGGGTTTCTGTGCCATTGATGTATATATATATATATATATATATACGTATACATATACACATACACATACATATGATACATATGCATGTTTCTGCATTTGCCGGTCGAAGCCTTTTGCCCTTGTTTCCGGAGACTCTCACGAAAGGCGACGAGGTCCTGCATCTTCAGCTCCAGCAGAAGCCTGCCTTGATTTCCAGCCTGGATGTCCGCAGCGATGCCGTGGCTTCTCAGCATCTTGAGGATAAAGCCCTCGGTTCCCCCAAGCAAGCTCGGAACACTCGCTGAAGCCTCTTAGCTGCTGCTTGGTGGGCTTGTTTGCTTTTTTTTAAAAAAAGAGCAAGCAAAAAAAAGTGCCACTGCAGCGGACCCAGGGGCTCGAAGGTCGGATTTCACCCAACTTGGCCGGGACTTGCCCCAGCCTGTGATGATCGTGCAGTTGCGGCTGGTCTTGCGACTGAGCAACGGCGGCAGCACTTCCAAAAGCCACCACCTCACCGCCATCCACGCCGCACCCGCAGACCGGTCGTGGAGGTCCAGGAAAGTGGGGCCTTTCCTGGACAACTTCTCGTAAATCTCCAACTCGGCAGCCTGTAGAAAAAGCCCGTAGCCCTGATCCTTCTCAAAGACCGCCTCCAGAACCGCGTTGTAGCTCACAATCGTCGGAATCACTTGAGCCAAGGGCATGCTGTGAAAGAGATGCAGGGCCACCTCCCAGTGTCCCGCATGGCAGGAGCTGATAGCAGCATTGTAGCTGACGACGTCGTGTTGAAGCTTCGCCCTGCGAATGCCATGGAAGATGTGGAGTGCCAGTTGCCATTGTGCTCCTTTCTGACAGGAGCTGATGGTGGCATTGTAGCTGATGAGGCTGGGATGAATCTTGGCCTTGGGCATGCAGGCGAACAAATGCAACGCCAGCTGCCATTGCTGGCCCTTCTCACAAGAGCTGATGGTCGCATTGCAGCTGACCGCGTCTGGGACGAGCTTGGCCTGTGGCATCTCATCAAACAAATGCAGTGCCAGCTGCCATCGGCCGACCTTCTCACAGGAGCTGATGGTGGCACTGTAGCCGATGACATCTGGGATAACTTTTGCCATGTGCATGCGTGTGTGCAGGTGCAATGCCAGCTGCCACTGCTGGCCCTTCTCACAGGAACTGATGGCCGCACTGTAGCTGATGATGCTGGGGTTCATGAGGGCATTGGGCATGCTGGTGAAGGAATAAAGTGCCAGCTGCCACTGTTGAGCCTTCTCACAGGAACTGATTGTCGCATTGTAGCTAATGACGTCGGGATGAACTTCGGCCTTGGACATGCCATGAAAGAAATGTAAAGCCAGCTGCCATTGCTGGCCCTTCTCACAAGAGCTGATAGAGGCGTTGTAGCTAACTGCATCTGGGAAAAGTCTGGCCTTGGGCATGCGATCAAAAAGATGAAGGGCCAACTCCCATTCCCTCCCCTTCTCGCAGGAGCTCATGGTGGCACTGTAGCTTATGACATCTGGTTCAACCTTGCGCATGCTGTTGAACAGATGGACCGCCAGCTGCCACGGACCCTTCTGACAGGAGCTGATGGCCGCATTGTAGCTGATGACGCTGGGAACAACCTTGGCCTTGCCCATGCCGCTGAAAATCCTGGGTCCCGTAAACAGGGTTTAAAAAGGTTTATGCGGGAGTCCCACTATTTGTTTAAAAAGAAAAGGAAGAAGGGCCCACTCTGGGTCCTAGCATCTGCAGCGCTAGTTGCCACTGCTCGGCCTTGGCACAAGTGCTGATTGCTAGGGTGTATTCTGGCAGGCCCAACCGAATCCTGCCATGTCTGTCAAGCTCTCCGAACATGGCACCCACCAGATCTGCTCGGCGCAGGGCCTTCAGCTCTTGCAACAAGCCACGGACAAGTTTGGGCTTCTTCTGCCATGCCTCCAGATGTGCATCTACAAACTTCTTCACCATTTGCCTGTCCGCCGGCTGCTTCAAGCTCGCCAGTCGCAAGATCTCGCTGGGTGCACCAGTCGTTGGATGTACGCGCGCAGCTGCAGAGCATGCCCGAGAGCAGAACATGTTTCCTGCTGCAGATGTGTAGCAGTATGGGACCTCAAAAAAGACCCAAATCCTATGGACCCAATCCCTAAACCCTGTCCTAACTCCGAAACCCCAATCCCTAAACCCCTGTACCCTAAACCCTATTCTGAACCCCATGAACCCCATGAACCCTCTGAACCCTGTGAACGCTAAGTCCCAAGCCCTAAACCCCTTTGGACTCCATTGGGCAAGCGGTTTCTGAGCCAAAAGTAGCCAAGATGTTGTGAGCGCTCCGGCGTGAGGCAGTGCGCCCTGAGCTGCCTCGCACTGCCTCGGGTGTTTGTGTTTGTGTGCATTGTGTAGGATTTAGGGTCTAGGAAGAAGAGTAAAGGATATGAGTCATCGTACTAATTGCAGCCATCAGAAGAATAGTGTAACGTTTGCTTATCTGGGGTCCGAAACCTTGGGGTGCCTTCTTGGGGTCCTTATTATCAGAGAATCCCTGCTATGTGGGAGGTCTGTTTTAGGCGTCCCCCCACATGCTCCTGGAACGTTGATGCCCAGGCCAGCTGGCAGTCACGAACGGGCAGCATCGGCTGATCGACCGACCAATGCTCCAGGGTTTAGGGTTCCGATCCTGGTGAGGGTAGCCCTCTCCCTTTTTTTGGGTCTGGGGTTCGCCGGCGCTCAGGGTGAACCCCTAAACCCTAAACCCTAAACCCTAAACCCCATCGACCCCAACTCGACAGTTTTCCTCGCTGGACGTACATGTCTCCGTCTCCCGGGTCTCTAAGCGCTTCTCGGCTCTGCAGCTCAACGTCGTCCAGTTTGGGGTTTAGGGTTTAGGGTTTAGGGTTTAGGGTGTTGCGGTTGAGAGCACTCTTTTGGAGCAGGGTCGCAAACTCGACCCTTTGCCCCACGTCCCGGCACCCGACTTCCTAAGTCTCATCTTCCATGGTGTTTGTAGTGCTGGGGGCGACTTCATCGTCAAGGAATTCTTCTGGTTCCTCCTTGCTGCCATCAAACCTTGGTTGCTCTTTAACCCCACACTAAAAGTTTAACTGTTAGCTCCCTCAGTGAGACATGTTAGAGGAACCCCAAAACTTAACAGTAATACGGTTGTAGTAAAGTCCCACCTAGCAACAGGTCCTGATCCGCTGTGGTTGAGGTCTGACTGTCGGAATCGCCAGAAGTCTTGTTCGCCTCCAGAAAGGACATTCGAGCTATATGGCTCGAAGAAGAAACTTAGGGCATACCATATCTTGAGCATGTGGTATCACAAACCATGTGAAACACTGTACTTGGCAACTTTATGAAATGGGGGGGAGTTGTGCTAAAAGGTGCCTTCTCTGTTTCTCTGTGTCGCATAGCCCTGAAAGCTTTAGGCCTCAAAGTTGTTACGACCCGCAAATCACCCAAGTCATGAAGAGACCCCGAAGACGAAACCAAGCTCGCAATGAAGCGGTCAGGGAGCCCAATGCCCCCCTTTGGTACTAACCCCTAACCCTCGCTATAAAGGCAGTTCCTGACTCCAGGGCTCAGGAGTTCAGGGTTTCCAGTGGCCTCCGGAGGGTTGAGAGTTGAGCGGGGGGTTCTACCTAAAGCCCCAAACCGTAGACCCTGGACTATGTGGAGTGGTACTTCTCCCAGCATTCACACCCATAGGCTTCCTAGGTGCAAGGATTTGGGCCAGAAGCACCCAACCCGAAGCATGGTTGGGGGCACGTGGGAAACTATGCAAGCTACATAAGCTCTCAGCCCTGCATGCCCCGAGCCCTAAATCCACTTCTGAACCCTAAGCCCCTAAACCTAAACCCCCCAAAGTCCACTAAAACGCCAAGCCTCGAGCGAAAGGCCCCCCCCCCCCCCCCCCCCCCCCCCCCCCCCCCCCCCCCCCCCCCTCCCCCCCCTCCCCCACCTCCGAAGTCGAAGGCTCAGATTTAGCACTTGGAGGTATAGGGCTTATCCTAATTTTTGTGGCCTAGTTTTTGGGGCTTGGGTTCAGCATTGATTTGTGTAGGGTTTGGCGGTTTAGGATGGTTCTGGACCCTCCCAATGCTGCACCAGCTGAATATCGCTCCCTCAGGGAAGATTATTCAAACAGCACGGCCGAACCCGCAAGGACACACGACCATCTGCCTGGTAGAGATCGGAGTCGCCGCCAGAGGAGTTGTCTTTGGCGATGCTGTTGCTACCGTAGCTGTCGTACTCACTGTAGTTGTCGTACCCACTGGTGCCGTTGTCATAGGAGACAGCGGCGTAGTTGTCTTTCGTCTCGTTGCCATACACACTGGTGTCGTTGTCATAGGACATGCTGGTGTAGTTGTTGTTGGTGCTGTTGGCGCTGTTGCCGCTGCCGTAGCCGTCGTACTCGCCAGTGTCGTTGTCATATGATTCGCTGGTGTAGTTGCCCTTGGTGCTGTTGGTGCTGTCGGTACTGTTGCCGCTGCTGTAGTTGTCGTATCCACTGGTGCCGTTGTCATAGGCGACACCGGTGTGGTTGTCCTTGGTCTGGTTGCCGTACGCATTGGTGTCGTTGTCATAGGACATGCTGGTGTAGTTGTTGTTGGTGCTGTTGGCGCTGTTGCCGATGCCGTAGCTGTCGTACTCGCCGGTGTCGTTGTCATATGATTCGCTGGTGTACTGGTTGCCGTACACACTGGTGTCGTTGTCATAGGAGATGCTGGTGTAGTTGCCCCTGCTGCTGTTGGTGCCGTTGCTGCTGCTGTAAACGTCGTACTCGCTGGTGTCGTCTTCATTGGATTCACTGGTGTCGTCGTCATTGGATTCACTGGTGTCGTTGTCATTGGTGCTGTTGGTGCTGTTACCGCTGTAGCTGTCATATGCGCTGGTGTCATTGTCATAGGAGACGCTAGAGCTGTTGCCGTACTCATCGGTGTCGTTGTCCTCGGCGCCAGAGGTGGTCCCCTTGGTGCTGTTGCCGCCGCTGCTGTAGCTGTAGCTGTGGTACTCACTGGTGTCGTTGTCATGGGAGATGCTGGTGTAGTTGTCCTTGGTGCTGCTTGTGCTGTTGCCGCCACTGTAGTTGTCGTACTCGATGGTGTCGTTGCCATAGGAGATTCTGGTGTAGTGGTCGTTGGTGATGTTGGTGCTGTTGCCCCCGCTGTGGTTGTTAGACCGACTGGTGCTATTGCTGGTACTGGTGTTGCTGGGCCTGGTCACGCTGCCACTGCCGTGTGCACTCACGGAGGTTTTTTTGCTGTGCTCTTCCTGGCATGACGCATCAGATAAAGATACAATGAGCCCTCAACCCGAAACCCTGAACGAGAGGCCTGAGACATGGGTCCTTAAAGTATGCCCGCAGGCTCCATTTCAAGTGCTATTGGCTCCCCTATTTCCCGCGCCCCCACCCCCCCGCGAGAAACATACACGACCTATTTGGCTTTTTCTTCAGCACAGTGTTTCATGAACCCTAAACCCTACACCCCATAGCATTGTTGGGGGCTTGTGCTTTCGAAAACGTAGTCGTATGCACATATGTGCACATGAGTCGGGTCGGGGTGGAAACAAGCCACAGGGTGCTCTTTTCGGGTATTGGGGTCCTAGAGTTCATGGTCTAAGCTAAGAGGTTTTGGGCTCCAAGAACTTCAGATTTCTGGTTTTATGTATTTCGGCTAATTTGGGCTTCAGGACTGTAGGCTATGTTTTTCTGCTGCCTTGGGGCGTGCAGGCTTCGATGGAAGGCTTTGCGTGGGTGGGGTTCTGGTTTTGCGTGTTTTGAGGCGTTTTGGGGTGCAAGGATTTTAGGCTTTCGGTTTGCGACCCTAAACTTTAAAACCTAAACCCTAAACCCTTTTGGGTTTAGGCGGTTGAGGCTCAGACCACTAAGATGCACCATCTGCAAACCCCAAACCCTAAAGGTGTTTATGAGGCTCTATAAGGATGCTTAGGGCTCTGGGGGAACATTGACATGTATCGCCCCCAAACTCCTCGAACTTACGAATTGTATGTTGGGTCCCCCCCCCAAAAGTCCCTCTCCCTCTCGCCTGCTTCTTGTGTTGCAAGACCTTTCCAAACATTTGGAAGGTCACATGGGGAGGGGCTGCATTAGATGCGGCCGTTTGTGACCCGAGTCAGGCCTGGGGCGGTTTAGGGTAAACCTAAACCCCAAAGCGCTTTTGGGGGATCAGAAATAGAAAACAGGAACACTCTTTAGGGTTCAGGGTTTCGGGTGACCCCCTGACAAGGCCCAGTTGCCATCGGAAGTGGATCGCTTTTCTCCTATGCCGAACCGCAAACCCAACCCAGGACCCCCGGAACCCTAAACCCTAACCCCTAACCCCTAACCCCTAAACCCTAAAGCCTCAACCCTACGACCCTAACCCCCCCCCAATCCCGAACTCATCCTTGCAGCTTTCAATCATGCGAGCGAAAGCAACAAACATAGTTCTTACAACGCTTTTGAGAAGAATAACGCCGAAATACTTTTTACAAACTTGTTGAGAATACTAACAATAAACACCAAGCACTTCTTAAAGTTGCTGCTCTTGTAAATGGGTGAAAAGAACTGTGACAAAAAGGCCCGGGGTCTAGGGCTTAGGGATTAGGATTTGGCTTGCGCGCCTCGACAGTTTTCTCGGCTTCCCTGAGGTGTAGGGCATAGGGTTTAGGGTCGAGGGTTGAGGGTTCAGGGTTTGGGGGTCCCCATATGGGGGTTTCCGAAGATAGGGATGCCCGTGTTGGGGTTCTGATGATAAGGGAACCCTACTACTTGGGGGTCCCGGATTTCCATAAACCCCCAGAAAGTGCTATTCTGGACGGTATTGAGGAGCCCTGATCAGTTGGGGTAGCGGACC